CTCTCTCTCTCTCTCTCTCTCTCTCTCTCTCTCTCTCTCTCTCTCTCTCTCTCTCTCTCTCTCTCTCTCTCTCTCTCTCTCTTCTCTCTCTCTCTGTATCACTACTGGGCCCAGGTCCTGTGATCGCTCTCTGAATATCCTTGCTGTTCTTCGTCCCCCTCTCCACTATGCAAGCTCCTAGCTATGGCGCCATCGACTACTTCTCTCTCTCGCCTGGCACTGTTCACTTCAAGACCTTGGCATCCAAGCAACACAGCAGCACTTCCGCATCTGACCGAATCGAAGAAGAGGAGGTTCCTAAGAGGAGGTTCCTGATGTTGGCCTCCCTTTTGTGCCCGTGCCTCAGCCTCCCACTTGATTCCAGACTCGTCTGCCAGGCTCTGCCACAGCAGACAAAGATTCGGTCCGTCATGGCCTTTCCCTGGGACTGACCTGCAATGGGACCGGGACTGGACACGTGGCGACTCACTACCTCTAGACTCCTAGGACCCTCTACTGTTCCTACCGGTCTTATCCTATCAGATCTCTATTTTATCTGTACAGTTACTACAGTACCTACCGAAAAGGTCTACTTAGGCGGCTTAGGCCCTAAGGTACAGATGAAAATGGGACACGGTATCGGGCCCATACTGCAGCAGCACATGAACCCTTTTATTTTAAGTTTTAACCAAATTTGCCACCAATTCATAAAACGGACACCGTATTAACTCATTGCAAGAATAAAAATAAAAAACGGAAAAACACAAGAAACTCTAGTAACTAAAAGAGCGGGTAGAGTTTGTGAAACAAATGAAGAAAAGAACAGACAGCATGAGGCATACTGAAACCGCTGGTTTGCCTTTTCCTGTGCAGTTCTTCCTTTTTCTTTCTTTCTTTTGGCTTTCTTCATGTGTTTGTCTTTTATTTTGTATCACAGACTCTCACTCTGTTTCGTCTTTTGACCCTCGAGTGCCATTACAGCCCACTCACATGCTGTGAAAAAGAGAGAGGAAAGTTGGAGTAAAGGGGGAGAGAGGGGATATAGAGAGAGGAAAGCTGAAGTGAAGGGAGAGAGGTTTTACAGAGAGAGGAAAGATTGAACAAAGGAAGGCAAAGGGAAAGTAAGGAATGTGGAACAAAGATCAGAGCATAGGCAAGGATAAGAAAAGGCTCAGGAGTCATTCTGTTCCTGATGACGCAGAGGACACGGACGGTAAGTTTGAGATGGGTGATGACATGGAAGACCTGCTGTCTTCACCCGAATAGAACACCCGATCATTATAATATAGACGTAATTGATGCAATTTTCAGTCCAGATACAAGCTATAATGACCACGCGCTGAATTCGGGTGAAGACGGTAGCTGCGAAGCATTCCAAGTACAATGGTTAGCGTTAACCATGGCCACTGAACACTCCTGACAAATGGTATGCTGGCTGGAGGACGGAAGGAAGGAACAAGGGGGGGGAATGCGCAGTCAAGAAAAGAGGGGTGGCCCTCTGCACACATTGACTGCAGAAAACCTGGCATTGAAATTATTCTGGCGGAGACAACGACGCCAGCAAGCAAGTTGAACAGTGTCTGCAGCTGTGGAGAGGAGAAAATTGCAGAGTGTTAACACATCGCCCTGCTGCGGCACAGGGGCAGAGAATTAGATCCTCAACATAAAAGAGTGTGCAGACGGTTTGCGGAGGCACGGAAACATCGTCATTGCAAAGGATATCACCGACATCAAAACTATGTCATGGACCATGGTACCCTTGTCTCAAAATTCCGATTGGTCAGAGGCATAAGCAATGATCGGAGCCAGGTCCATGTGCAATGCCGGCAGAGATGTGGGACGGAGGATTAAACCACTCGCCGTGCTGAGTTGGCGGTCCCTTGTCTCAACTTGTAGCGCCTCATTTCTAAAGCCGCCTTCGGTGGTGTAGTTACTACCTTCTGCCTCTTGGCAGGGAAGATCCACATCAAGCTGAAGGGCAAGCACAAGAAAGTTGATGCCATATAAAGAAGAGACAAAGGGAGGCAAGGGACATACCTCCTCTCACCTCCTCCCCTTATTTCTGAGGAGCATGTTATGCACACTCTAAAGTTATTTGTATATATGCCATGTGTCATATGTCCAATTGATCAGACATTTCTTTAATAATAATAAAATAATAATAATAAATAAATAATAATAATAATAATAACAAGACGTCTGCCCGCCGTGAGTGCGGCGGGGACCAAGAGTAGGGGGAAAAAAAAAATTTGCAATTCCGCACCAATGCCCTCTCTCTCTCTCTCTCTCTCTCTCTCTCTCTCTCTCTCTCTCTCTCTCTCTCTCTCTCTCTCTCTCTCT